GTGGTTTTAATAACAAAACGGGAAATGTGAATGTCCCGTACAATGTTCTAGGAAGATTAAAGATGACAAATATATTCAAGTTCAACAGATTGTCTTACGGTGAAAATAACCCTGAACAATGGTTTAAGTGCTGAATAAAATGTTTTGTGACAGAAATTTCCTATGAAGGAAAAATCGGAGGAGGCGTGTTTCCAATGCAGGGTGCCTATATTTGACATGCTGTAAAACTCACAGGTATTTAATTGTTGTATTCATAACATACATGCAGTGAGCTCTCTACAGTTTTCAGTCAGTGTCCCATCTGATTACACTATTTCAAGTTAAATATTTCAAAAGTCACAAGCAGCCTTCACTATATGGTTATCTCCAATGAGCCATAGCTAGGCGATTGTCAGTGACTTCATTGGCTAAAACCCTGCTTGTCTTTGGACAAGCCCTCAGGGCTTTGCTCATTCTATAACTTTTTGCTCATTTGTAAGGAATGATGAATACACAACTTGTGGGAGCCTCAGCTCTCAGCCACCAGTCAGAATCTGACATCAATCAGCATCCTCAGTATATTGGATATAGCACTTTTCCAGTCAAGTGCTCGCAAAACTCTTCTACCATCTACATTTAGGGACTAAAACTTCTTCTATATATGCTGCTATCCAGCATTATAAGGTCTGCTAGAATCTCATTCTACATCTGATGGGTACAGCATTATGTTATGTGGTGGTGGAGGGAAAACTGCAGCTTTGCAAACAAAGCTCATCTGAGCTGGATCACAAGCTGGATCTGCTGGGACTGAACTTTGTCTAACAATAGGGCCCTGCATTTACTTTGTGCATATCTTCGAGAGGAAGCAACAGCATGATAGATTAAAAAAAGACAATAATGTGCCTACCCATAGCTTTTCTGTCTTATATTAAATGTGTGTCATGGCTGGTGGATTCAGATATATTGTTTTGCATGTGTTTGTTTTTTTTTTTTAATGAAAATTATTTTTTCATATCAGTACTAAAAGGAAAAGTAAACAGGATTCAGTCTAATTTACGAGACACTCTAGAAGATGATTTGAAGCAGACTGATTACAGTGTATCAGCCTTAATTACAGTATATATAAACTAAATAATATGAAATATTAATCTGTTGCTTTCAGACCAAAGAATCAATATGCAATGAAAGTTTATTTCTCCATGTACTTAAATCAAGAAATTAAAATAGCTTTATGTAGTTTTAGGGTAGTTCTTTAAATTGACAATTAAAACATCCAAAATCCCGCTTCTCCAAAATAAAACCAAGAATCTTCAGAATGTAGCACTTTGCTGATTTTAACTGAATATAACAATCTATTTTTAGCTCACTTCTTCAAATACTGAATAGAAATAAAGATAATTTAATTGACAAATGAAATCAAGAATAATCGATATGGGACAGACTTGTAAAAGCATATAATGCTTCTTACACAATACTGAGCAGCTATACTTCTGCCATTTGAAAAAACAGATTTCCTACACTACCATAATAAACAATTACAGATACAGAACTTATTTTGTTTTACTTCTCTCCTAAATAACCTGAAGTGGCAGGTTCTGGGGTTTTCTCTTCTCTTCTCAACACCTAGAGCTGTATCCATAAAGCTGAGCCCTGTGCCTTGCTCTGCAACAGAGGACTTAAACATGGAACTTCTTGGTGCACACAGAAGATGCTCTCCGTGCTTTAGCCTTTAGACTTGCAGCCCATTTTTCTGACTCAACATTGAAACTCTTTTCACTTATGGTGCTCCAGGGCACTATATACAAGTTACAGCCCTTGGTCTCCAGGACTCTGAGACCAAGTTATGCCCCAAATATGTCGTGCTGCTCTTTGTGCTCTCCTCCCTGTGCAAACCCTGGAGCAGCTGGCAGTATAGAGTGACTTGTCTCAGCATATTGCAGAACTTCTCCCAGAGATGACAAAAGTTTAGGTTCAAGTTTCTAAAAAACATTTACCAGTTCTAAAAAACATGAACCAGTAACTGAGACGTGTCTTGAAACGGTAGAGCAAGTGAGACAGGACAACACAGGCAAGCCAGACTTCTCAGCACTGACAAGACCCATGAGCTTATGACTACACCAGCAAGCTGGCTTGATGTCAAACAGTACGGCCACAGAGCTAACAGTTGTCATGTACCACGATGAGTGGCCCCATCCAAACCACGTGCCAGGAACATTTTATTGCCCGTGTTTTCCCGAAGCCATGTCCAGACCCATGGGGCAGTGCTGCTGTATCAGAGACCGTACAAACCAGTGCGTAGGCTGGACATCTGTGCTAACGCTGCAGCTGAGACAGAGACCCTATCTTACTTAATATTATAGCTTGAGTTTCTGAAAGATTCCCAAAACTCCCAAAAAAGGAGTTTCAAGCAGATTTCAGCCAATGGAGTATAAGTACAATAGCCTAAATTTCCTATAAGTTAAGCTTCATCTTTTGAGAATTTTGTGTGCAAGTTTTATGGCTTTCTGGTTTACAGCATTTCAAGGCATGCATGCACATTGGGCCAAATGAATCAGACTCGGAGACAGCACGTCCCCCTTCTCCCATTCTGGAGCAGCTGGTGCTACTAGATTACCAACACTGGAGTATTGCGTGGCTTCCACTGCCCTCTGGGGCTGGCAATCACAAGAAATTGCAGAGACGTGACCACAGCATCAAGCACGCCTCCTCCAACCTGCTCCAGTCCCTTCTCTCCTCCTGCCTATTTACTGCAGTGTGGCTTCTCTGAAGGTCAGCCATCCAGTCTGCAGAGCACTAAGATCTTTTGACTAGGATTTGGCATTTAAATAGCTTTTATTTTATTTTCAAGGCAACATTTTTACTTTTGCTTTTTGAGTATAAGTTATTCAAAAATGTCAGAGACGATATCAGGGAAAATAAGTCTTTTCTCTGTCTCTGTATACACACACAGCTATTTTTTCTATATTGTTTTCTTGAGGATAAACATACAGGTTGGGGTTACTGGTTCATTTGTTCAGCCAATTTTGCAGAACCGTCCTTGGCATTCAGGGACAAATAATACTTTCCAATCAGCAAAAAGGAGACAAAAGAGATAATCCAATACTGCATTAGATTTGCAAGCAGGTCAAGGTCTTATCAGCCTTAAAGATCTTTTTTTCAAAGAGATGCAAAAGGTTCTTAAAGAAATATATAGGACATTATAAACTTGAAGTAACAGTTCTAACAGCAGAGGCACTATACTGTTTCTTTTCAGTTTCTGATGACCTTGACTCTGTAATTATGAGCCCATTATTGTTATGTCTTTAAAAGACAATAATTGCCTCTACTGTTCTTGATTGCTAAGAAAATGGATTTTGATGCTCATTTATCAACTACCTGGAAACATCTAATACCAAGGTTAGTTCCAAATTCTGAGTCCAATCTGCTGAAAGAAAAGATGCCAATATATTTTCTGTCTACCAGCCTTTGGCCAAGATCAGTCTTTAAAAAACAAAACAACTAAAACAAGAAACTCCAAAAACATCAGAAAACCCATAGTTGCCGTTACCTATCTACCAATAGAAGCAATTTTACATTTTTTTTTTTCTGAATAACAAACAGTTTCTCTCAATTAAGAATGAAATATATCACTGAGCTAACATGTAAAGCACAAGAGAGTTTCTTAGGAAAATCTATAGAGACCATGCCTGAAAGTGCCAGCCATCCTCTCTTCCTACTGGTTTTAGTGCTCAGCGTTTCACAAGATTTGACCGGGGTGAAAGTCATCACTTGCATGTAAACACTTGCATCACTTCACCCCAGTTAATAGATGTCACGCCTCAGCACGAGGAGAGCCTGAGGAGAGTCACACAGTGTAGGGTAAGGGAGCAAGAAGCAGCCTGGAAACCAGTCAGGCCCTGAAATTAAATAAGTTCTCTCTTTCCTGCCTGATAGCCTCTGCAACATTTTCTCTGAACTTCTAAATGTAGAAGAGATAAATTTAAAGACAACACAAACAGAGGTGGCAGTCAGTGCTTGTTTTTAATCTGTCAGACCAGCCTTACCTCACTTGGACAGAAGTCCTAGTAAGCTCAAATTCTGTGTTAAAAAGAAAAGCAGACATTGAGAGAGCTTTTGCCCCTGGCTTGTGCTAACGGCTAGCATAAGGTATGTGCACAGGTAATTTCTAAAGGTGGGTTTAGATGGAGTTGAAACCTTTCACTGCAGGCAACGTGAACTGGCCAGACATGAACCAGCTCTAGCCAAGAAGCCATGCACTCCAGGCACCATTGTCTGCTACAGAAAATTCCTGCCACACACACTTTTTCTACTTCTAACATGTTAAAATAAAATTGAGCCTCTTTTACTTTTTTTATTTATTAAAGATACCATATGTAAAATGAAACAAATAAAAGCTAAGCATGAGGTGGGAGATTCTACCTGACCTTGTATGACTTCCTGTAGTTTCCAATCCCTTTGTGAACGGGTCTTGCTCTTTTTCACATATTTTATTGATATAATATATATCAACAATAACCATGCTCACCAACAGCATTAGCCCGCATATTAAGCAGCTAGAATGGTGTCTCATAAAGCTAGATGCATCTCCTTCCAGGGAAAGGAGGTAAATCAGCTACATGGGGTTTATAAAGGTTCACTGGCTTTTGTTACACCTTTGTCACAGTTTATAATTCTCATAGACAAATGTGGAGGGGTCTTTCCCCTTCTTCAGGGCTGTATATTTCAAACACTGAAATGTGCATATGAAGTTATGATTCTCTGAATCAGATGTTCAAACTATATTCAAATTCAATTTCAAAACAGTGAAATATTAGAATAGAATAATTCTTTAGACAGATTTTGTAAAGGAGATGTACATTTGCAGCATTTTTTTCATAGTTACTTTGGTTCCAACAGCCTTACTCAAACACTTCATGTTAACTATGCGTTCAAAGCACTTTGTTCAACGTAGAGCTAAACAAGAAATATTTGGCTAAGAAGGACTTAGCCATTTTCCATCTACGAAATAAAACAGATCCTACCTCTGCCCCTTCTCTTCTGAGACAGACAATTCCTGTTTCTGCACGTATAGACTGGTGTCAGGGAAGCAGCCAAGGAAATGAGGAGCTGTAACAAACAAAACATTCCTTTTAAGTCGAGGGTCACTGTCAAGGCAACAATACAGTTTTGAGGTTTTCTGCATTAAGTTTTCCAGGTAAAATCATCTAGTACCAAAAATAAGACACTGATCCTGCAAGCAAATAAGGAGATAAGGATGATTTCACACTGCAGCATTCAATACTACAAGGTTGCTAGACTTTGCAAGAACTTATAGGAATGTGAATAAAGTTTTTAAAGAAAAAAAAATACACACGTCCTTTTAAGGAAATGCTACTTGTTTTAAACTTGATCAATATTATAGATAAGATTTGGCTTTACATGAGGAGAAGGTTTAAGTGGATTTAAAAGATACGAGAATGCTTTTAACTACAGTTTCCAGAGAAAGTCCAAACTCATTGGAGATGCATCTTCAGGCTCTGGATCTGATCTGATTATCAGTTAGATAGCAGAGGCAGTGTTTCTACTGAAAGGAAAGTACTCTTATCTACCTGACTGCAAACAGCTAGAGTTTTAAAAATGAATAATTACAACTCTCATGAAAACAAGACACAAAAGGCTTGCAGGTATTTGTTTCAAGACTAGGAGTGGAAATTCACTGCAATTTCTTGTGACTCCCAGGAGAAAACCTTCCAGAAGCATTTTTAAGAAGCCTACATATCCCTGTGCTCAAGTTTACATGAACATGCAACTTATGTCAACTTGAAAGGGATTTACATATGCAAGAGTGCATGAGAGCAGTCTGAACTCCATTCTTTTGATTACCCAGAGAGCAATGAGGGCTGGTTAGCCCTCATCTTGGGAGTATTATACATGACATTTTCACAGTGGGATTGCACCGGTAACTGATTGTTACCACACCACAGAACATCACTTCTACAGGGGGAACTTCCTCAGCTTTTAGTGCACAGAGCTGCAGGCAGGTGACCTCCTGCTTGTTCTCCAGTTTCCAGGCTGTGGCATGGCAAGGTACATCCCCACGTGTCTCTGTGCAATAACCATTTGGCAAATACTGTCCCATAACTAGAAGTTCAAGATTCATCTCCCACATGGAGAGAATCTGGTGCCGTTTTGATGGTTAACTAGTGAGTGCACGAAAACCTGGGCTTTCCAAAGTAACCATTTTTTTTTTTTGCAAATACGCAGCGATTTAACCAGATAAACCTACCAGCCTTTTTGTTTAAAGAAAAAATAAATTTGTCCCATTGACACCATTATAGACAGCATGTTGCTATTCGCCCTTCATTTTGTGGAAGATCCTTCTATCTCCTTTCCTCCTGACTGGTAAGCAATGCTTGACTGTAAGAACAAAACCAGCTGTTTGACTGTCACTGAGGAGCATAGGACAGAAATAAAAGGAGGATGTTTTGTGACTAGAACAGAGCAGCATTTTGCCTGTCAAGCTGCCTTGCTGTTGATGAGACCACGCTTACTCACTTATGTAAAGGGTATGCAAAAAATAGAGCATGGTGTAGCAAGAGCCCGTCCTTGCTTTACAAAGGAGTCCAAAGCCCAAACGTACCTGCCAGGTCAGTACTCAGCTTGCTAAGTACAGACTGTAAGGCAATCAGCTACGCAGAAAGTGGATAGATTTAGATAATTCTGCTTAGAGCTGCTATATAACGAGACAGCTGTAGAAAGCAATACTTGTGGGCAACAGCTGCTCCCAAGAAGTTCCGAACGTGGAAAATTATGGCACAGAGCTGCCAGTCTGCAGAAAAGGCATTGAGAAGCCACTGTGGTTTGGCTGTTCATTATCTCAGCACAACTTACCTATCCATCCTTTCACAATCTCAAAATCATTCAGCCAGCTCTGTGACACCCTTCTTTAGCTTGTTCTTTCTCAGTTTTAAAAGGGGTCTTCAAGCAATCTTCAAATCTGTTATCTCTTTCTGAGGGCCTGACCTGTTTGGTACAGACATGTAAATCCAGAGGAGTACTGGAGCTTTAAACTCCTGCTACAATGTTATCCTAATGCGCTGTCACATGCTTTTGAGGTAGAATTGAAGTAATTTATGGGACCTTCCCTCATATTTTTACAAGTGTTTTGAAACTGATTAAGAAAGCCTTCCTCTGGAAAAAAAAATAATTCTTTTTTGCAGTCTAGGTATACTGAGTACACAGTACAGTTCCCGGTCCAAGCCTGGGAATTTCCGTGTCAGTAACAGGGCATGCAAAAAGAAAAGCCAGGATGTTAAGACAAGTATCTGGGGTACTAAATTCTCACATTGCCACTTTATTTCAAGCTCTCCTGCCATGGAGGTGTGAAGGAAAAGAAGGTGAGTTACTGTGGTGGAAGCATATGAGAGAAAAACAAAAACTGGGCTGTAATCTAGGAGCACAGAACCCTCAAAATCACTCAGTAGGACTTTAATTCCAAGTAATTTGCATTGACATGCAATCCCCTCATTTGGGGGGACTTGGATGCCAGGAGTTGGATGGGCTTGTAACTACCATCTCTGCCATATGAAATCCAGTTCAGGTCCTAAGAAACCCAGGGGTTTAATTAGAAAGTGAGATACTAAATGATATCTTTTACAAGTCAAAGCTGGAATTATAAAAAAACAAAAAACAAAACAAGCAGCTTTTGCACCCATCTGGTGATCTTCAATGCACCTTTGATCCTCCTAAGTCCATTGAGGATTACACCTAGGTTTTTAACCTTTTTTTTTTTTTTTAATTATTTTTATTATTATTTTTATTTCTTCTGCAAATCCTGGAGTTGCTATTACCTTCAAAGCATTGTTTGTTTTCACCTAAGTCAAGCAGTTACGCTCTACCACAAAATCCCATTCTGCTCATCACAACACAGATAAGTAACACAAGCTCTGCTGGAAACCTGGTTCTGGCTCTTTTGTTGTCAGCTTGTTGTGATTGTATGCAACTGAGAAAGGCCACAGCCCTCAAGGGCTTCCAAAACTTTTGCCTCCCCTGGGCAAGGAGAGATAGTTTGTCTTAATGGTTCCAGATGGTTACTAGAGATTAGTATTGCTCAGCTATATTGCATTGATGATCGTTCTCAGAGCAGGCAAGCAGTAATTAATTGATTCCATCTGTATCTACATTTGGTCGGAGGGTCATTTATACTGTCCAGTCCTACAAAGCAGCAGAGGGCATCAGATAAGATGTCCCTGTTGGGATGCTGTGATGTTTAGAGACTGATGAAACTGAAAGTCTCTCTATAGAAATGTTAATACAGAAGCTCAAGCTATTGCAATGAAATTACTATAGCTTCAAGTTTGAATACAGAATATATAATCTTGCTGTGCTATAAACGTGAAAGTCTTATTTCATGACAAAATTCACCCAAACTTCAGGGACACTGAAAATAGTGCCCTCTTTCCACTCTTAGTAAAAACACTAGGTCTTCCCAAGTTTGAAATAACATATGCTTTCAATATATGGAGATCTACAGAGAGAATCTGTATGTGGAATGTTTTAAATATAATTTGATCTAAAAAATAATAATAAAATAAACCACATAATGATAATACATTATCAGAAACTGCATTAACACAAGGTAATTATTTCCGTTGAAGGTTGGAGACTTCTCTTCCTTATAGCTCCTCAATCTGCCCAAAGACTTGCATTTGCAGGCTTTTCATGCAAGGCCCAGGGTTCACTGCACAGCTGATTAACAGCAGCATTGAAGTCTGGCACCACTTAGGAATGAGAAAAACACACACAAAAACACACTCAAAAACACACACACACACACACACATGAAAAGCAAACTTTTGCCTTAAAACCATACGTGCTTCATACTTTCTACCTTCCTTTTGAAGATTTGACATGCAAAACTACTATGCATAATTTTTGGTTAGAAGGTCACGTTACCTCAGAAGAGTGAAGCACCTTCTATTAATGTTTACCATTTAGAATTGAACCAGAGATTCTCTGTCAGTGACCTATTTTAGGAAACCCAGAGTGCAAGGTATTACAGTGAGCATATTGAAGTTGTCTTTCACTATTATTTTTGGAATACCTATTACTCTGCTAGATTATTACAATTATGTATTCATAAAAGAACAATATACCTCCCTCCTCCCTGCCACAAAGATTCCTGTATTTACTGTAAGTAAGAATCTTCTAGAGATCCAAAATCAAAGACCATTCAAGATTAGTCTCATAACTGTCACTATACAAGATCAGAGTTCGAATCACTACCATGTAACATTTCTATTCTGGCAGAATTTGAATTATTAGGGTGATGTAAGGGTCTTTGTAGGGTTTGCCTGAGAGTTCTCCAAATTACTATTTTCAGCAGTTGTCTTCTTGACTGGAGGAAGCCCACCGGAGAGCCCTGGTCTTCCAATTGATCTGTTTAATCCAGAAGACAGGATCTGTGGACAGTTCCTTATTTCCATAAGGCAGGTTCTAAAGTACTGAATTACACAAATTGGATTTATTTCATTGTTTGTTTCCATAGATGTGACTCGTGGCATCACAAAAGAAGCATCTGAAGGAAGAAAGTAGAGTCATTTCTTGTTAGTGGGTGCAGTTTTTCCCACGAAGAAGAAACCTGCTGGTATTAGTACTCGACTACCATCACTGGCCCCAGACTGATGGGCAAATTTCTTCCTGTGAAGGCTGGACCTCAGTCCATCATATTTTAAGTGGGCCTTTGCGGATATTCTGCGCATTTCAAATAGGCGCCTAACCAATTCTGTAAGAGGATTTGCTTGGTCACAAACCTGTTCAAAACAGCCAGGTGGAAACCTGATACTTGAAAGCAAGTGACTTATATGAAGGCCAGCACTCTATTTTAGCTCATGCTTTTGTTTGCCACTATTATTCAGTCCCTGTACAAAACAGGTAAATATAGTATTTCACTGTAGGCATATCTATAATTGAAATAAACTTGCAAGTAATCTATTCTGGCTATGTTGTAGTAGCAGCTGTCAGATCGAGCAGCACTTCGTAAATCACCTTCTGTTTAACATGCGAGTGCTGGAGTTATTTATAACTATACCATATAAACGTCACAAAGGATGTTTGGTGATTCACAGACAATAACATAGAACATAATGTGGGACAGACGTAGAAGAGAAAGCTGCCTTTTATTTATTTATTTATTTATTTTTAAAGGCAGAACCATTTGGGATTTCTCTCACTACTCCAAAGCTGTACCCAGTGGTGTGAGCATTGCCACTCGATTGGACTTCCCGCTTTACCTAAAAACCTGGACAGTTTTTTTTTTTAATTATATTTTATTTTTAAGAGCTGGACTTTATATGATGGCTTTTTGGAGCTATTTATGCTATATTTGCTATATATAGAACAACTTAGAGAAAATTTGCATGTAGCAAGCTGGTGTCAAGCTTACCGGGCTCTATCTACCTCTGAACCACCAGTTGTACCACTCATACATGTGACCCAAGGGACATAGATGTTGTTTTGCTAAATATGTTGAAGGTGACAGCAAGAAACAGACCCAGGGGTTCCACCAGGCTGAGGGAAAAAAGATAGTTTTAGACCTGTTTTGACAAACACGCCTAAAACTGTGCAAAGCTGGCATATTTCTAATTTGACAACAGATCTCATTAACATCCGGATTTCCACAAAAGTTAAATAATTATTATTATTATTTAAGTCTGTCAAAATATCCTCAAAAACAAAGCTAAATGCAGGATAATTCAGAAGAACTTACAGGTTTTTCCTCTGATTTTCAAAATCTGTGTGTCACTGACTCCATGGTTACATGTTGTTTTTTGTTAGGGAAAGGGATTTACGATTTTATTTATTTTTTAATCTGAAGGTGTTAAGTTACTCTCTTTGCCATTATTATTGTGCACCATGACCTGTGGTAATTTCTGGTTGATGATCATGATATGCAGCTCAAAGTTCTAAAGACAGTGATAAATACAAAACAATTTTAGCTATATTGAATTGACTGCTAGAGCTTTAAGCACTGGCAAATGCAAAAAAACCTTTCCTCCTGGTTACAGCTGGCTTTCCCCTTCTGCTTTTTACTCTACTCAATCAACCGCATCACTCCAGTAGAGTGAATCTGCCAGAGCTAGCAGAGATTAGATTTGTCCAGATGTTTATTCTGTACCTTCGGGAAAGTGCTGGATTAAACGGATCTGCAGGCTCATGGATGCAGCTCTTAAGGAAACGTTTGGAATTGTTTTCCCATACTGCAATAACAGACTTACACCAATGTGCAAACCACAGCCTCCAACTTAGGTTGAATGATTAAGTCACAGAGGATGCAATCCTACTAAAACTGCAATGAAAAGTAATACCTAGCACCAAGTATGAACGTGCTTCCCCCTTCCCAAACGCTACCACTTGCCTGAATATCAGCCACTGATTGTTAGTCTTCAATGCAAGTAGAACAATGAAGATTACAGAAATAAGCAGTGTTTTGCTTATCGGTCAATTTTATATCATGGATTGTAAAAACAAGCACCTTTAATTTCAATCTCAAGGCTCATAGTCACACTTCAGTCTCTTATAGCTTAAATACTTCATCACGTAAGGTAGGTCTAATTAGAGAGATTAAGGTATTACAGTGAAAATGAAAACAACAGAAGAGTTTTGTTTTTTAAAGAAAAATGTTAATTAGGGATTCTACAATGAATTCTTATTAGTTTATTTTAATTAATAGTGTATTAGTATTTGCATGCACTACTTCAAAATCAGGAGGGATATAACATTCTGTCACCTGAAGCATTAGAAACAATTGTTAGAATTGTTTCCTAGCCACTGAATTTAATTCTCTGTGGTTGACAAAGGTTTGACAGTAATTACTGGAGATAGCACTAAAGACGACTTCAAGGGCAAACTCCATCCCAACAACAACAAAAAATAAGCCGAAGTTTACGAATTGAAAATAAACTTGGAAATTTATCAAACCCACTATTTGTTGACAACCATTAAGTTTTTCTTTGTAACATAAGAGACCTTGATGCAGCTACAGCTTTTTCTGTTCTATTTTCATTTTTTTTTTTTAACTTTTTTTTTTTCCTTTTCTGATTTACTCATGTTTTATAGCAACTCAGAGAAATCAGATTTAAAGGCATCTATAAAACTTTATACCATTATCTAGTAGCTGATGCAGATGTAGTCAGCTCATCCAGCACAATTTCTCATTGCTTGTTGAAATACTAGCTAGTGGCTGCTCTTTGCAAACATAGCTAGTGTCTAAAAGCTGGAAGCTCCAAAACCACCTATAAACCAACCAACCAAAACCAGCCAGGCTTTATAGGGGCAGACACAGTCAGTCAGATCCTGACAAAACAGGCCATCTAAATGCTACGTGTATTTAAATTCTTCACACTCTTACTTTGAAATGAAGAGACAGCGTCCACGTATCCTTCACAGTTCGTTAATCTTACCGGGATGCAATGGCACATTAATCAGAACTAGTGAAAGTAATGCTGTCCACAGCTGACTAACACTCAAAAGATGCCTCATTACATTTCTTTGGAGAAGCACATTTATCCAGCACAGTATCCTTAAAGGATTTAATTCCAAACATAAGCATCTTCACCATTTACATAAATAAAAACGCAAAGGATCTTTTCTCAAGTATTTCTTTTACTTCAGTAACTTCTTTGTTAAAAAAAAAAAAAAAAGTCTGGAAAATTCCCTATTACACCTCCTTACATTTAACTTGAGAGTTAATTTATAACTTTAGTGAGATAAAGCCTATGATAGGTGAGAGGGAGACATCTGCTTATTAAATGTCTTGCAATTTAAGAAAAAAAATGAAGATGAGTATTAGAAAACAGAGCATTAGTACAGCTTGACAATTAAAGACCATACATTAAGAAACATAACTTCAGAGCAAACACTGGAGCTGGCAGATTAACTACTATGCAGAAATTCGAGAAGACTGCAACAGATTCTTTGACTAGTCTTTCACCATTTTGACTGACTAGAAATCAATACCACAGGTGCCACAGAAAGTAATTCCATTGGCTGTGTCCTTATTGCCTTCCCCCCACCCCCAAATAAAATCTTTAGGAATTAGATTTTTAAAGTTAAACAAGATCAATCATTACTTTAATCACTGTTTTACTGCTTTGTTTTATTAAGCAATAGATATTGCCCTTTGAGGTTTTGAATTTTTAATGCAGTTTTAATCCATAATACTCCTCTGTACTCCACTGATCTGTATTTCTCCCACACTATTATAATTGCAAACAGAAATTGTCCATACAGCAAATCCAGAATGTTTCCATGGAGCAGCAAGCAACATATGGAGCTCTGAAATGCTTGCTTAGAACACATACATTTTAAATATTAAGAGGGTTTAAGTAACATCATAATAACAATAACTTAGACCTAGACTTTAAAGAAACTGTAAGCACACTTAATTCTTGCAATAGTGTACTCCATACTAGGCCTAATTTACTGTATTTAATTGGTTTGAAAACTCCCCCTTTCTCCTTTCCTCCCCTCCCCTCCCCTCCACTCCCCCTTTGGAACATATATCCACTTGGCTGCATCTTTCCTAGGAGACCTGACTGGTCTTGAACAAGTACTGATAATGGTCCCTCACCAAACTGTGATTTTCTGTATATTAATAGCACATTTACAGCGTCTTCAAGATAAATAAATAACTCCCCTTAATTTTCAGAAGAGCTAAATGTAAGCACAAACTTCAGAAGCCACTTGGAGCCAAAAACTGTGCCCCAGCATAGGTACTGCAGCTCTACAGCATGAAGACAGGAACAACCACAAGAACATACCCTGACAGAGATGTATTTTGATAGCTGCTTCTGACTCTGCACTCAAAAACTACTAGGGGCTGAGGAAACCCTTCCAGCCATCCACCCAGATTCCCCAGGAAGGGCTAACCACCACCACCCTTCCACCGTTACTCACCCAGCACACAGGTGGGGCCATGATCTTAAAGTAGACTCAGCCAATCCTCCTTCCATGGGATAGCAATGAAATCTGTAGATATTAAATAAAAATTCCATTAGGCTCACTCTCATTTTACTGAAATTTCAAAGATCCTGGGAATTAATAGATATGCAAAAAGTTTTGCTACTATGCTTCTTTGCCTTTTTACCATAATAAGAGATGTATATGTCTTATCCCCTATGGCTTTTTTAAGTACTAGGGAGTGCTATAATGCAAATACAGCGGAAGAATGTAAAGCAGGAGCACAAGAAAAGTGAATAAAATCAACTCATTTTAATAATATAAATCACAGTTTTCTTATCATCAAACTATCGATCTACAGGTTGGTGTTAATCTACACTTTGGTAAATAAATGTATTTGTTTTATCAGCAGGGCATAGGAAGGGCTGGGGTGGGGTAACACCTCCCACCTTTCCTAGCGTGGTGCTCTGGGTAGGAACCAGGAGCACCTGCAGCCCTGGCAGAGCTCTGCAGCTCTTCAGCACCATGTCAGAACATCGTTCTACCTCCATTATTCTGCAAGATAAAGCAGATAGGAAAGCTGTCTAGGCACTGAGGAAGCACACGTTGTACCCTTTCTAAGTGGATGCAAAGAAGTGTCTGTACAAGTAGTGTCCCCTCAGCTGTCCTTGTAGCAATGGGGTTGGCATCCCCAGCTCAACACTACACTTGTGGGCCCTCATCTGTGGCCTGTTACAGGCAATGGGAGCCACTGCAGTGACTGCAGGGGGCTTTGAATCTAGCCCTGGAGAGGAGCTAAGCCTTCACTCTTGAGCATTCAGAAAGACAGAAAAACCTGTCAAGCAAAACAATTGCTTTGAAATATTTTTTCACTGACTTCTCATAGAAGGGACTCTGGCTATTGAAACCGGCACAGTATTGGGAAAGAATAAAGCTCTGTTTTCCGGCTCACCAATCAGTTGATGAGTGTTAGCCTTCCAGCTGCTGGGAAATAATCAGCTGATCCCCCAGTCAATAAAAAATTGCTAAGTAGCAAATATTATGTAGAAATCACAAGTATGTGAAGTTGTATGTCAAGCATGTTGTATGAAGAACTCCGTATGCTTTTGTGTTGCCTTAAGTATTTTGTGTTCTTACACTGTTGTATTTCTTTACCTTATGTTTTTCTTAGTGACAATATGTTTGTAAAACAGCACTTTAGCCAACTATTATATATACATTACATTAATTTATGGTGATTTTTTAAAAATTATGTTTCAGCAAGATGAATTTTTAATATGGCTAACAGTGAATTCTCTTATATACCATTAGGATAATTGTTCACCACCTCTACAATTTTCTGCCTTTCAGCCCTGCAGTTTATTTGTAGTTATTAATTCCAGCTGCTAGTAACACTTGCCCTTAGGTCATTTGTACAACTAATGTCTTGGGGTCATAATAAAAAATAGTCTGATTCCATTATCAGAAATGTAAAATGTTGATGCTGCTCTACTGTTGCTCACAAGAAATGGAAGAAAATATAAAGATAGTTTCTCTCAGTCAGTCACTTAATGGAAACAAATATTCAAAAGAGAGAAGTGCTACATTATGCTGAGGATTTGATTCTTGTCAAGCTACATTTGCTAAACGAAAGCCTGTTAAAGTGAAATGACTGAGGATCTTCCTAACATTTAAGGAATGGTTTGATTTTTTTTCCTGTTCACAGTACAAGAAAATAGTTTCTCTCCTTTAAGTTACTCCCTCGGCTTTCAAGCATCCGACAAGTCAAATGCAGCCACATAAATCCCCACGCTTATTCTGAAACAAACATCATCACAGAGGGCTGGAGATAATAAATGCAAAACATGCATATTTAGGAATTAGGACACCAGGAACTACTTGCCAGAGGTAAAATGGTCTGCCACAGACAAGAGAGATTTTAACATGAGTTTAAATTACTCACAGAGGCATCCTCAGGCTCCGTCTGATTCTCTGGGCTGTCCAAAGATGTATTCTAGAATGCAAATGAGAATTGTCTCAGCTCATCTTTTTGCTACCAGAATTTTTTTTTATTTTTTATTATTCTTCCTGGCATTTTAAAACTTTTTTTCCCTTCCATTTATTTAAGAAAAAAGTTTGAAAAACTTAAGTAAGAAATCTCTTAATTCATAAATTCGAACTATAACATTTTTCTTTCCTTCCACAAAGAATCTCCACCAAATCTTTTGACCAAGGTATCTTTTTAGTTAGTACAAAGAATACCAGCAGAAGAAGGAACAAGGGGAACAAAAAAGCTAACAAGTAGCTGCTATTCTCCACAAACAGGCTAACAAGTTTCAGAATGGGAAAGCTGTTAGAGAGAACACGCAAGTCGGATGTTTCAGGTCTTAGGCAGTATTGATCTTCTTGGGCTTTTTTATTTGAGGTGAAAAATGTTTTAGAAGATAAAACAAATATAAAATTGCCTGAATTCAGGGAACTTTTTCATCAGTGCTTGCTTTTAGGTGGCTCTCACATGGAACAGCCAATGGAGGCAGTTGCCCAAGGCAGCAAAGTGTTGGGGACTGTAAAACAGACGTTGCTTTCCTGCTTGCTTTGCCTCTACCAGAACTCTGAAAAAAAAAACAGGGGCTGCTACTACCACAAATTGGAAATATTTCAGGAAGTTAAAAATGTCTTCTTTGGTTGCTCTTGACACCCTCTAACCCTCAGCTATGGAGGGATCAGCCTGACCTGAGCACAAAGGCCTTCCCTGGTCTGGGTGCCTGGGCTTTCTCCTTTTCACCCATTCCTTACCGGGACACACACATTACCCTTTACTCCTCCTCACTGAGGTGACCACCTTTCCACATGTCTAAGATGATTTGGGTTGGGTCTGGTCACACTTCAGGGTTTTCTATTTAAGTGCTAGGGACTAGCAGGTATAGAGTTCTGTGAAGCGCTTACTTACATGGGTTCTCTCTCTTGCACAGGAAGGCATTTTAAAAAATGTACTGATGCCATCTGATCAGTAGAAAAATACTGTTTATTTCAGTTTATCCTCAAGATGCCTAAAAGGTTCTGTCCTCTTAGAAGTCCTGCGTGAAGTGGAACTGTAAATTTTGATTACCAGGATCTCCTCTAAAAGCCACTGCCTGGAAAGCCACTGAGTGCAGAAGCCTTTAGATCAGACTGGCAGTGCCAATAAACTTGAGGTTTTAGCAACAGACACCCTGTTTTACAACCTGATGACAGAAGTCCACTGCACAGACTGCCTTTCCCTTCCAAAGGGAGAGGATTAAGGCCATTAGATGGAGGTAGGTAACGCAGGGTTTGCAAGAGAACTTCCTGCTGCTGGTACTGGAGCTTGCATGCAGAAGGCCCGTCCCACACCCCTTGTGGTGCTCAGCAGTGGGCACCTCAGTTAAATCTGCACCATGCGACGAGGAACATGCTAGTGAAGGAATGAGTATCTGCTGGTTCTGGCAGCGTAGACCAGGATCATGGAGAGAGACCAGGAAGCTCACAGGGCCAGGGCTTACATGTGTATCTCTCCAGAGCCAGGACTTCGTGACCCGATTCAGTGCAGAGGCCAAAGGAGGAGACATTTACAGCAGCCCAGTGCAGCTCCCAGGGGTGATGACAGCAGCGGGGTAGGAGGCTGTTAAGGGTATTTATTACCAGTTGGTGCTATTAAATCAGCCATCCAGCACAGCCATTCTAGCTCCCTGTATGGCACTGACAGCCTGGAGCAGGAGCAGAAGGATTCCTCCTGATGTTTTTTCCAGCGCTCATTTCACAGAGCTGGGAAGTGGGAACGTGTCAGAGGATGGCTCATTCTGGGTCCCACCACCCCAGAGCATGGCTTGGCATATCATCCCTTGGGGGCTTGGGAAGGAAAGAGGAACATGCTGGAGATGTGCAACATTTGCTTTTGTGTTTTTATTTTCCTTTCCATGTCATGACTCTGTATGTCTCATGGGAGCGCCAAGTGATCAGCCACAAACTCTGGTTGATGATCCCTTTAAAAACAGTTTGTTGTGCTCCTGTGGAAAGCAGACTGTCCTTCAAGTAAAGGCAGCACACACAAAATACGATGTATTTGCTGAAAATGTGCCTTTCGCTCTTTGAAGCTGCCTGTAATTACATATCTAGGGAATAGTTTGATGTTTACATTTTCAAGTATATGGCGGGTTGCATTTAGCATAATATTTTTCATCTTTTCCCTTTCTTGTTGCACTTCTTGTGGTCATAAATTAAATTATGTCATGAAAACACTGAGGACTGAGAGCAAATCACAGCAGTCCTGAAACAAGAGGCCAACCACCAGAAAGGCACTTTTAGGTGGTAGCCATCTCCCATGAGCCTTCGGAAGGAGGTACCAGCTGGCTGTCCCTAACAGTTGCCATTCAGAAGACACTCTGGCTATTTCCCATGATGTTGGATGCCCAAAGGGATCTGCTGATGAGCCTGACATCACTTCTTGGGGAGAAAAGCTGGCCAGCTGCCACAGCCTTTCCCCCCTGCAGCCAGACCAAATGTCTCCTGCTCAGTAAAGCTTGCTTTGGGGCCCTGGGTTAAATTCTGCTCTTGGATACATTCTGAAAACCCTAGCTGGTTTCAAAGAAGGTATTCCAGATTTACACCATCTTTCCTGTGATTAAAAGCCAAACTGAGGTCCAGAGAATAAAATAAATTCATGCTTTTGGTCTAAATTTATAAGGTTCTTTCATAAAGCCTTCAAACAGGATTTATCCTCTGGTTAAAAATACATTTCAGTTGACTTCATCCTTGTCAGCTATTGAACAACATCCTAAAAATCATCTTTTGCTACCAACACAGGATTTATTACTTATATATGTGTATATATGTGAAGAGTACCATGGAAATAATTTAAACTATAAATTTACTTTCTTCTTTTCACAAAATTATTGTGGTTTTACAATTTTTCTTGAACTCGTTTATTGATTTCACAAACATTCTTTAAAAATGTCAATAGAGTAATTTATATTCTTTAGGTTGGTAGATAATTTTCTTCACACCAACAGACTGATAATGCAACTCCACAGCTGCAGACATGAGCTCCAAATAGTGGCCTCCAGAAACTATGCACTGAATCAGTGGGGGCTGTGCTTGTTTCTGCAGGTTAAGTGTCACTCTATGTTAATAACTTTTGGGCAGTACTTGTTTGCATATTTTGGTTTTCAATAGTTTGGTTATTAAAATTGCAGAAGAGTAATGATAAATATAGTTTAAGTCTTCAAATACTTGAAATATTCATTATGCATTTTCAAGGTTTTCTGAAAAAAAAAACACCTTTTTATCAGATGTTTTTATAGATGGTTAGTATGCAAGCTGTTTTGTGCTATAATGGACATCAGCTGTGATCCTGTTTGGGACAGTATTTAGGAATCCTGGACACTTAAAAAAAGATAATGCTATTGCATGTTAGTAGGTCTGTCTCTTATTAAGGTTGCTTAACATTTTGCTTTGTAAGATTGTATTTTCAGTTTCTTAAAGCACTGAGCAACTTCAACCATGAGAGTTGCATTTTCTGTGCTGTCTGCTTCAGGCTACTATTTTTTAGCTAAAGAAAGTTTCAGAAGGAGCAGTTCAGCAATTTAGAAACATTTAGTCTGTCTCAGCAAATAGGTAGCACAAGGGCACAGGAACAGGCAACAGGGATGGGGAAAAGTGAGAACCAAAGGGAAGGAAACTGATTTGGAAGACAGCTACTTGCAAGGGGAAAGACAGCTTAAAGGAGGAGGATGGACAAGAAATTACATTGGCTAGTAAGGTCTGCAGATAGGGGAATGACAGAGATGGATGAAAACAGGTCTTGAAAAGTGAACTGATGGAGACAGAACAGAACTGGGTAAGGAAGCAGAAACTAGGGAAGAAAATTTCTGGAGGAACAGACCAAACCTTGGAAGTGGTTTCCAGGGCAACTTTCTTCATTACCTTCTCATGGATTGTGATGAGGCCTGTAGTTCCCTTGATCTTCTTTATCAAAGAGACAAATGATGTTTGCTTTCTTCCAATCTTCAGGAAACTGATCGCCCCAGCCTTTCAATGATAAAGGACAGTGGCTTTGCGATGATACCAGCCAGCTCCCTTGGCACTTGTGGGCACAGCCTGTCAGGTCGCATGGGCTTCTGTATGTCCAGTTTGTTTAAATGCTCCCTAACCTGATACTCTTCCACCAAGGGTTCCTCTTCCCTGCTTCATACTTTCCCAGGAAATGTGTCTCAGGAATATGGGATTCCCGAAGGCTGATCTTACCTGTAAGGACTGACGCAAAGAGGGCATTGAGTACAGCAGGTTTTTCCTGTATCCTTTGCCACTGGGATCCTGGCCATATTCAGCAGTCTGCTCACATTTTCCCTGGTCCTCCTTTTCCTGCTGAGGTACGTGTGGAAGCATTTCTCATTGCCCTTCATAAACCTGCTCAGATTCAATTCTTGGTGGGCTTTGGCATTCCAAGGCCTATGCCTGCAAGCTTGGCCAGTGCCTCTGTTTTCCTCCTGGGTCACCTGTCTCTGCTCCTGTGTCTTGTATGCATTCCCTTTATTGCTGAGCTTAGTCAGGAGCAACTTGTTCATCCATGCAGGCTTCCTGCTGCCTTTCCTTGATTTCCTGCTCATCAAGGCGGACCATTGGAGGAGGTGATCTTTGACAATGAGACAGGAGCTGCAGGAAAAGAAAACATGTCCTGAATGTTAAATGCTGCTTCACATTATAGCTCTGCATCTGTCAAAGGTTTCCTGTCCTCCTGTCATTAACTGAGGCACTTAAAGCAAATTTTTCATAACTCCTCATTTCTTATTTTATAGGTGTCTGTCCTGAGCTTACATCCTGATTGACAGAAATGCTGAGCACTATTTATTGCAACTGAGACGAATAATGATTTGTAATTTGAACACAAAAAGCTTTATTGTTCTAAACACCATGCTCAGAACACCTCAGAACTGCACCTCCAAGTGAGGAGATACTTTTGACCTTCATCTCTCTGTGCCTCAATTAAATGCCATCCCTTATCTCGCAAGAGTTTGTGAAGTTAAATTAATTAGTCATTGTGAAGCCCTTAGAGACAGTAGTGATAAATGAGACAGAAAAGTCTGTGAGGGAACTATTTCTCTTCTGAGATGGTTTGAACAGTGAGAAACAAATAAGGCCAGTACCACACACTGCATAAGAAGTGTATTGGGAGGTGCTGGGCAGCTTTTGGGAGAGCTGTCCGCCCTTGGCACGGTAAGAGGCAAGGCTCCTGCAGAAAAGGACGCTGCCTAGAGATTAGGAACATGGGTACAACTGAAAAATACAAGTGCTGCTACATGGACAATTTTAAATGTTGGCATTTACAAATTTTAAACTCGTGATTTTGGTAATTTTGAAGTGTTTCTACATGTAGTTGTAACAGTATATTTGATACTTTACCACAGCAAATACGCAGTGACATCAAAAGGTTTCAGTGTTTGTCATGGCATTTAGATCTGCCTTTAGTTGGGGATATTTTTACTACTATGCCTTTGTTATTAACACTCAGAAGTTTTTTGATGAGTGAAACTACAAGAGTTTCTCTCTCTGGTAGCACTAGAAATAGACACATTAGAAATAGCACATTTCTCAGACACAATACTGAAGGGGCTATATACCTAATTATCAGTGTTTGACCGTTCTATTTCTGAAGTGAAATACATATCTTAAAGGGTCTCTAATCACACATTTCATTCAGAGCTTACACTGCGTGCGTATCTTGAAGACTGAGAAAAGACAAGTAGTGAAAGATGTCCATAATACAAGTAAAAATAAGCTTTGTTAATAATAGTAGAAAATATTTCCTATAGAATTATGGTACTGTAACCACTGCAGCTTTCCCAGATATTTTCTTACATCCCTCTTCACAGGTTTAAAGTCTAAGCTAGAAATTTAAAACATGAACATGTTCCACTGATATCTTTCAAAAAATCAGATTCTTTAGTGCCAATTTTCAAGTTCTGACCACATCAAGTTCTCTTCAGTCTAAAAGACAGGACATTCACTTCTAATCCAACACCCACCATTCAGAGAGCAAAGTGAGAAACTTCTTTCTAATTGCCTCAATTTTAGAATGAATACATTTCAAATCCAAGTGTACAAGCCACTCAATGAAAATTTTGCTGTGGTCAAAACCCCGCTGTAACCATGGAGTTGACATGCTTTTACAGCAAGGTGAGACTGAAACAAAGAGGTTGAGTTGGTGACTGCACGCTGCCTGGAATTTTGTACTTCAGAAATCCACTGAAACCCTTTCATCTCTGATGCTCTCCTAGGTTGTTCCACAACCTAACCTCTCTGCAAGTTAGAAACCTGCTTCTACTTTAGCTGTAGCCAGTTTACAAACAGCCATTTTTCTGTTCTGTCTCTCTTCCTCTCTGCTATTTACTGTGCAGATACATTTTCCAAGAGCAATCACATCTCCTCTCAGCCTTCTTTTGTTGAGCTAAATGAGCTAAACTGTTAAACTGCCTAACACAAAATGGACTTTTTGTGCCTGTTCTCTTGGGAATGCCCTCTCTGCATTTCCTGCGTTTTGAACTCAACATTTCAATAAGGCTGGCCAGAACAGCAGTCTAGAGAAAGCCTGTCAAATACTTCCCCTGGTGGTACTGCTATTTCCCTGTGTCCAGCTGAAAACCACTTCATTGGCACTTGAAACCCTGTCCTAACTAGCAGAAGGCATGTTTCCCACAGGTGTGGCACACGAAGCTTTACAGATATCTTAAATCTAACATGTCTGCATCTTTTTCCTCTTCTGCTATTGCAGCACAGAATAAACTGGGAGCAAAATTGGTGGGAGCACAAACAATATACACTGAATCTCAGAACCGGACCTAAGCTCTTCCCTTCAGAGTCACAGCAACTCATTCTTTACTGCAAAAAAAGAGCAAAAAAGAAAAAAAAAAAAAAAAAAAAAAAAAGAGTACTCAAACACATAAACTACAGGACTAGTAGGAGTAAGAGGAATTATGTAATCTTTAAAATTCCCCTTACAATTTGTGATTACTGCCTAGTTACACTGAGAACAAAACTGTAGCAATGAGCTTCCAAAAAGCTGGTCCTATTTCTGCTGAGTGCATCGGCGTGGTGAGGCTGGGATGGCTGGTCTAGCCTAGCCTGGTCCCCCCAGACACTGCCACTTGGCTCTCTGACAGCAGCCCTGGGGACAGACTTGTGTGAGAGGCTGTGTGAGGCTGTAAGAAGCTCTCTGTACGAGGCTGCATGAGTAACTACATCCTTTCTGTGCTGCCCTGCAATCACTATCACAGGAAGTTTACGCTTTTCTTTCACGACATTTATCCACTGAAAATGATTTCTCACAATTGTGAGAACTGTCAATTTTCACACAATTAAAGAGGACTTGATCTAGTGGAAAAAATGAACGTTTGCACTTGCGCTCGCTACCATCCACCTCCTCCTGAGAAACAAATATTTAATTGGACCGGATTCCTTATGATGGCACAAAAGGAAGGAAAATGAGGTACTCAGAAACATCTGGAGCCTGCACTTTCAACTTTTAATGTGACAGGATCAAAAATATTTTCTTTTAATACAATAAGCATCTGGTTGACATGTCAGTATTTTGCAGTCTGTGAGATATTGCTAAAAATGTAACCAGCCATGGAGGTCTCAAGAGGAGTCTGTATATATGGCATGTTCCGGTTGATGACAGAAATAAATCTTTTACATACAATGGCAAAGGCAGAATTGTTCAGCCTACACAGACACAATGAAAAGCAGGATGATCCTAGGTGAAAAGATATTTTTAAGCCTGTACTACTGTTCAGGATTACGCAATCACCTACTTGGCTTAGGAAACCTGGAGGTACAGAGAAGACCAAAGAAAGGGATAAGGTCTTCAAAGCTTTCTAGTTTATTAAAGGTAGTAAAATATTGTCTGAAAAGCCCCTACAAGAGGACTAGAGAACAGTGACTTTACGGAAACATGAAAAATATGACTGTTTCTTGGAGAGAGAAAGACTTTCTTTTAGAGTGACCCAGAGGAAAAACTTTTGTTTTGTGGGGGCTTTAAGCATTTTTCTTTTTAATATTCGTGATTACTTTTTTTCTTGATAAAAACTACATGTTCTGTGGACACAGTTAGGTCCCAGTGCTGTCTGTGGGAGAGACATCTAACCATTCGTATGTCTTCTATGCAACCTCCCTCCCCTTGCAAAAGCATTTTGCCTCTGCCAATGGGTTTCATACAACTGAAATCTCAACTGTACCTACAACATGTACAACAACATATTTCATTTCTGCTCTCTTTCCAAATCTTCCTTTCCTACTTTTTACCACCCAGTGCATTCTTTCCATCAGGTACGGACTTACCAGAGCGGCATGTACCCCGCTGTGTCACATCACAGGGAAGCAGCCAGGAGCTGGTCCAGCCACTTGTTCCACTGGGGCTGCATCCTGCTCTGTCATTAATTATCCAGGGCTTCAAGAACATCCCCCCTTTAACTGCAGTGTTAAATGTCGTCATATTCTGAAAAAAAATGTTAAAAAAAAGCAAAACTAAAATTAACATGCTTCTCTCTTAAATGTGCTTGGAATTTCACTACCATGAACTTTTTATAACTTGCAATCTCTTATTACTAACACATACTTACACTGGGCTGAGGGATAAACATGGAAGTGAAAAAAAGACAAAAATGTACCACAGCATCTTATCTTTGGGTTGTGTGCTACAGGGATACCAACCCAAACTTGCCTGTGATCCTCCCAGCCTGCACAAGAGAAGGCAGCTGGCACAGCAAAGGAAATCTGAACAGGGTGGGTTCAACGTGACCACGTTCCGTCGCACCTGAGGCTTTGCAGCTTCACAGCAGCACAGCGTTCATACACCTTTTGTGGGGGCAACCACGGTTCCATAAGGCAGATGGATGGTTGTAGCTTTGCGTAAAGCAAGCCTGTTTCTTCTCTGAAGTCAGCTAAAAGCTAGATCAGGGAACTCCCCCAAATGGTTCACTGGTGGGCGGGAAAACTGACATTAGCATTGAGTTAGGGGCCTTGGATGAAACAAGCTGCCACCAGAGGTTAGGGAGGCCTGGAAGCTTTGATGTAGCTGGAGCCCAGCTCCTTTGTTTTCTGTTTGTAAAAAGCTCCCCTGTGGAGTTTTTGTTTGGGTTGTTAAAATCTGTTTAACTCAAAGAGCTGACAATAAGCACTTGGGAGCAAAACCCTCTCTTTGAAAGTCTTTTTGCTGTTCAACTGCATTGGCCAGCCCTGCCAATTTATAGCTCTGTTAGCTCTCGCTGCTCCAAAGGCTGCTTAAGCAAACAATTAGGCTTTGCTGATCACTCTGGGCACCGGAGTGGCAAAATATGCACTTTCTCTATAGCTTAGAACACACTCAGAACAAAAACATTTTCTCCCTTACTGTTCCCTGTGTCACAGTATTAGGCAGCTCAAGGTTTCAGCTTTTAGTAGTCAAGGGCAAGCCACCCTCAGCAAGGGCTTCATTTCAGATGTACCAGGGCCCTGCACAAATAGCAGAGCGAGCATTAAAGGAGGGTGTCATTTTTCACTCACTGTTCCTTGGTAAGGCCATCTCTGTCCAACGCCTGACACAGTCAGTTTGGATCCCTGATCAAGGTCAATACACGCTGCCCCCATACGAACAAATTTGGTAAGTATTGCTCAGTATTTCCAAAATAAACTACTGTGGCTTCTGTCTCCTGCTCACTGCATTGCCTGCCTCTTTCTTTTGCCAGGACCTAAATGAGGGGAAAAGCACTTTGTGCATTCAATCCTGAAGCAGGAGAAAGGTCTAAATGCAGATAGAGCTGGTCCTCACGCCCAGGTGACCTGTGTGGTGTCATCCCTGCTTGTCATCCAACCTGATTTAGTATGAGAAAATATCTGTAGAAGAAAGGGAGCCAAACTTGGACAAGTTTTTTGATCAGCTCTAAATGCAACGTTTAGCAAATTCCACCTCTGCTAGATTTCAGACTGTTTTTTCTTCCAGCCTGAGAGATGCAGAGCACCATCTCTCCCAGCAGGTCTGTCGGCCTCTCCTCCAAACCCTTCCCTGCTCCAACTCACTCAGGTTACAGTGGCTAAAATACTGATGGACACAGCATAAGGACAGAGCATCTCCTCCTTGTTTTGGTACCAGAATTACAGTTTTTCCTTTAAAAACAAGAACATATAGAATAGAATGAACTTCTGTTCTGTAATTCTCTGTTTAAATGAGCAAAAGGGCCTCTTAAGTTTGTCCCTGTGCTCAAGCTCCCTTATGGGTCTGTAAGCACAGCTAACAGCTTTCACTCTCTTGACAGTTAAAGAAGTTATTCGTACTGCAGAAGACATCAGGTGAAAAATCACTATATAGCAGTTGTTTGAGAAAAAAGGAAGGAATTTTGCTTAATACAATTATTTTATCCTGCTTTTATCTACCAAAAATGGCAGCACTTTTTAGAACATTTGGAGAAGGCAGGAGGTGTTTTGTGGGAAGTAGTAATGAAAAATTCATGAAGGATTAAAAATAGTTGGATTTTTTGGGTTTAATTCAGAATCTTTTTATTTCCCCTTAGCTTCCTTCCCTATTTATATTGAATATAAACAAAGAACTTGTTCTAAAATAGTTAGATGAATGGGAATGAACTAGAGAGAAAGAAGTCCAATAATTTCTGAAGTAGGTGGTTAAATTCCAGACCCGGTACCGATACCTCAGTAACGAAGTGGTACGATTTGTTTAGATATTCAGACCACCCACAGACATCCACAGTTGCAAGGAATTTGTATGAGCTACCTAAGAATCTGCCCATTTTCCTTTTTGGTGGCCTGAGACACTCTGGTTGCCTTGAGCTTTAGCTGAGCCTTTTGCTGAGCCTGCACTCCTCTTTCACACTGCTTGAAGAACGTGTTCCTTTAACACGGGGCTGTGGAGACCATGGGGAGATGCACAGAGAGAATGCAAGAACGGATATAACTGCTGGGATCCAGAATTATTTTGCAGCATGCTATCTGGAAGATTCTTCAGCTGTAGCCCAGGAGGTGATGCTAAGAGGAGCACTTAATGTGCAGTTCTCCAGCAGGGCACCCTGTCACGCTTCTACGTGATTCCTTCCAGTTGACCCGGGCATTCCAGGCTTTCAAAAGACCTTGCAGAAATGCGGCAGCAGGAAAACAGAGAAAACACTGCCACTCCTTCGAGCCCTGACAAGAAGGACGCCAGTCAGTTCAGAGTCAGGTTCACATGATGCCAGAGTCCAGGGGAGAGGAGGATGTCTGAGGGGGAGCTTCTCAAGTGCTGCTCCTCCGGCCTTCTGCAACTGCTCCTTTGTCATGCCCGGCATGATTTGGTCCCCCAAGAGCTGAGCAAACGTGCTTTTTTTTCCAACTTTCTTCTATTGCAAGCAAGTTGTATCTGGTCACAGTGACTCAAACAAAAACTAGGTATTTGGTATTTTTATATAAAGTGAAATCAGAAGAAAACATTCTGCTCCTACCTTTGGTTACTATTTCGCTGGTAACGTGTTCAAGGCTCTTTACACATTGCTAAAAAGAAGAACCCTGACTTTGGATACTCATTCAACCTCTAGATTTCAGAAAGGTTTCAGGGTTAATATTATTTTTGCTTGTTTTCTTTTTCTCACTATAAATACGATGAGCAGAAGGATGTTGCCATGGTGACACTTTATAATGTACTTAAAGGCACTTGTTACAGTTATGTACCACAGTCATCTTCGTTTATGTCTGAATTACAAAGACGTGAAAAATCACCACGGAAAGGTACATAGTGTATTACCTTTCCCAGATGTTTACAATTCTTATTTAGTGTACAGGTGACAAATGTTTTGGCAGCCACTATATTATCTGGAAACCTATACTTTTACTACCAGGAGGGGGGAAAGTAGTTTACCAAAATCAATACCCAGTCCACCTGAAGTGTCATCATTACCTGAAGCCCAGCTTTGTAGTACGCTGAATTAAGGATTACAAATGAAAATATCACAGAGCTCTGGCAGTCCAAGTTAGCCATTGCTATACTATGTGCTTGAGGACATTTTGGGGTAGAGCAGTGTGAAATTCAGCAGTTTTGCTTTGTGAGCTCTTTGCCTCTGCAAAAAGCAGAGTTTTTCATGAATTTTGGAAGCACAGAGCCCTAGAACCTTCTCTCAGGATGGCTACAGCCTGGAGGCCAGCGCCGCATGTTAGCTAAGTCTGTGCTGCTCTGAAAACAGCAGGTCTGGAGCTGCTGAGGTGTTACCGTGCTCTGCCTCCTGCCCATCTGACTTTCTTCCTGACATCTGGAAGCTTCCCTGCAGGCTGCGTGCCCAGGCACTGCTGGTGGTTTTCCTGTCCTCCTGGCACACGCAAGCAAGCAAATACCCAGCAAGCTCTGATTTGCCTTGAGTCTGAGCTTGGAGGCTCGCTGGGCGCAGAGCCTGCAAGTCTGACAAATTCTGTCGCTCATCCTGAGCAGACAGCATGGGCTGGGGTGGGGAATTTCTCCAAGAACTTTTAGGTATGTAAACCTCTGGCACACCTGTAGGATGTCCATACTGCTGGTTTGTCTGGGATGGAGCTGAAGAGCTTCCACTAGAGAGGCTAAACTTTAATTAACATCTAATGTTTTAAGTGGATTCAGTAAGGCTTCCTCACCAGCCCCAAAAGGAAATATAAACCACCCTGAGCTTATCACTAGCTAAAGTAAAGCTCTGTACCATTCTGAATCCAGATGGGAAAGAGGAACCAAAGGCCAAAATAGAATTTCAGGGCTGGATGCAGTTACAGTCTGGAGAGGGCTGTGCAAATTGCTTTCTTGTTAGGTGATTGGTAGTGTGCAACAACCACAGTGAATTAATTCCCTGAAATAAGTGCTTGTCTTGAGGTTACGGACTCTGTTACACATCCACATCAGCCAGTGCAACTGTAGAACTGTAGACACTCCTTGCAGGGGCTACTAAGCTCTAGCAGACCCGTGGGGATTTATACAGAATTTATGCGGATGATGTAGGGTGGCCTTCCGTATCAAATGAACACCAGGTGGTGTTCATAAACACAGCCACACAGACATGTATATATATAGTCGCAATATATTGGTATCTACTTTATGACGTATCATATTGTACATGTATTTCTGGAATTTACTCAGGTTTCAGGAGGTTATGTAGACTTTTGAAACCAGCATGTGCAAAAGTAAATGCTTCACTACTGCTTTAAAAAAGTGAAAAGGGTACTAAACTGACTTTCAATACCAAGCTAAAACCCTATCTCTTTTCTGATAACATTCCTACAGTTGCCTGGTCTGTATGCTGTATTTCGGAGTTCTGAAATAGTTTGATTAAAAAAAAAAATCACTGGTTACAAACATTTTCAGTACTTCTGAATCATTTAGTTGAAAAGCAGGTACTCAGTTAATGACTGTATGGGATTTACCTTCCTGTGAAGGTAAAACCTAAACACTAATTAATGTTAATAAGTGGTGCTTAATAGTAAGGTTAAATACTCTCCACAGGATTACAAGCGGGTGTAAAT